GGTGGGTGATATGGAATTATTTTTTTATCAAAAATGATATTTCATTCATCCATATTACAATAAATCATAAAGTATCTAACACAACTACTGTGAGTATTGATGATTTCATTTTAAAATTGAATACAATTAAGAAGTGTAGAGTTAGCTCTGGTTTCCCCTTAGGGTGCCCCTCAGAAACACTAGATGAGAAGAAATGTACTTCCTATATTCAGGTATGGAACATTGGCTCCTGTCCTTCACCAGTAACACGCTGTCTGATTGGTTAAAAGGTAATGGTTGACAAGGCTACAGAGTTTTGTTTAGACGGTTACAGGGTATTCTTGTACTCTGATCTAATCCTCATCCAATTAGTGTGATATATTTACCCAACATGCATTCCTGATGGCCTTTCCAGGGAGAAACACACATTATCGAAGCCTACATGCACGTTTTGCCCTAACACATGTGGTTTTCATGACATAGAAGAAATACTGACCAGACATTTCGCTGATAAAGCACGAAGGATTCTACCTGTGATATTTGGGAATCAGGCTTTTTTTGCCAATGAACTTTATGTGATATTTTGAGCGCTATTTCTGGCTCATCAGAAAAGAATCTACCTGTAATTATAGGCTAACCCAAACGGTACATTATTTAGAACTTTTTTATGTTCATTTGTACAAATATTGGTAATTTTTAGACTTTATAAAAAAGAGATATTGAATATTTACACACAGGTACAAAAACTTTTGAAGTAGACATTATCAAAAATAGTGGTGTGTTCTGTAGGGAATTAAGAAGACACCACTCACAATCTTAGAAAAGAAATCTACTGCAGCTGTTGTCAGTTTGGGGCTTTATTCACACATACATGATACAAGGACTATGTGTTTATGTACGGTATTTGTTTTGCGGTATTTGTTTTGCGGGCTATATACATAATGCACATTAGTTGGTGGCCTTGAACTGATGACCTCAAGTACTGTGGATTCTCATATAGAACCTATGTGAAGCAGCTCACAGGAAAACATACCTCTGAGGTATACAGGGCATATTTACTACGCATATAAATTATTACAGCAAATATTAGTTAACAACATAGCATACAAAGTAATCAGATGTGAAGGGCAAAAATTAACACTGGGTGAAAATGGTTTTATTAGAGAACTACACAAAGTGACTGGGCAAAACTTTCCCGGTATATATGTTATTATAATTGTGGAATATCCCTCGGTATCGTAATCCAAATTGTGTTTCGTGTCCTTTTTATACATTTCAAAATTTTGATGTAATTATCTTCCACTAAAAACTGTAACAGACATTATATAATCTTCAAGCATGTATTTTGAATTTTTTTATTGAGAAATGACATCAAAGTAAGCATAGAAATATCCTTGCAATGAAATGACACACACAAGGTGTCTCTACCGTCAGTTTATGTAGCATTTCCGCATTTCTTCAAAAGACACACTTTCAGGGTACTGATAATCAAAATTTCACAAATAGTTTAAATATCTGATATTTGATACAGGTACATCTGATATTTGATACAGGTACATCTGATATTTGATACAGGTACATAAAGACTCTGGTAATAAATATGCAAATACCTTAATGGAGTTATCAGGACAGTGGAGATCCAATCTTCACTTTTTAAATTCTTTTATGGAACAAATAACTTCTCAACAACACTATTATATACTGTCCATTCAAATAGTTTTTTTTACAGATTCTGCCAAATGTATTTTCAAAAGGTTTGAAATCTTGGATGTTTTGCCCAATGAATCCTTGATAAGTATATATCACAAACTGATAATAGGTTTTATTCAAATTCTACAATAAAATGAGAATAATGTCCTGAAATATGAGTTATTTTACTCCCTACATTGTTCATTTTATACTACAAACTGATGATACCATTTCAAATACTTACAATTCACATTTTGCGACCTGCCACTTGCATAATGTTCTACATGTAACAACTCACTAGGAACCCCCAGGGATGTAAGAAATTAGTTGATTGTAGCAAATTTAACAATAAAATTTAATGTTCAGGGCACAATTCTTTGTCATGTGGCACAAACAATAACTTTGTAACAGGCAAGTTCCAATATAACAAATAAATGTGTTAACTCATTCACCCCTCAAATTTCATAGTGAACTATACCAACCTTTGAATTGGAATAGTCCAAATGTGTCTTCAGTGGTGAATTTATTCAATATACAGAAAAAGATGCTTGTAAATATTATCATTACAAATCTTGCTAATAATGCTTGCTAATAATACCATATTGTGTTCAATACAAAAGAATTTTCTCAAGAACATCTATTTTATTTTAAATTAATTATACCTCTGGCAAAAATAATTTCTTATACATCCTTTTTGGGGTTTGTTAAAAGGTGTTCTTTTGGTATCAATTAAACTTTTGCAAATGGGAAAATTGAGCAACTGGTCTTGGGAAATTTACATCAAGTATATTTTTAGTACAATTTACATCCCTAAATCAACAATTCCTAAATTCTATAATGTCAAACACAATATTTGTCTGGGAATCTTCAAAATTATCTTTTTGACAGTGTTATCCAATTAAATGTCAGGTTGGAAAATCAGAGGTCTAATTTTAGCAAAGCTGTTGAAAGCAGCATTTATACGACTTACCAGAAATATCCCAGACGTTTTTTCTGAGTTCTGGTTGGTTTATCAAAATCATCGCTTTTGGTTGTGTATTCAATCACGTCAGCTAAAGTGTGTAGTCTAATCAAGATTTATGTAGTATTTGTTGGTATCATGTATCACATAGGCACAAGCATCCCTGTATGTGCTTTTTACTTCATAACTAATTCTATGTTTAAACAAAACTTCAAATAACATACACAGTTGGTTCTAAACTTAGACAAGCAGTTCGTCTTTTTTTCTTCTTGGTACAATTTTGCAAAAACTGGAAACAATTCAGACCAGAATATATATAGGTTGTACAGCCTAACCTGTATACAGAAACCACGTCTAGTTAGACCTCCTAACACAGGTGGTGTCTAAATATGGGTTCAGTTAACATGAAAATAACTGCAATGGTGAGTTTTAAAAGTGATGGCATCTGAACACAGATGGTCTCTTCATAGAGGTGGTATCTCTTGTGATGTTGGTGGTGCCCTAGAAGTTACCAGTACAAGGTGTAACTGTGTATGTATGTTTAGGCAAGCTATATATATTGCTACATTCTTGAGCCCTAATGTATCTTGATTAGTGGTGAGAGGTTTACTGTCTGCATCAGGCTGTAACACATAACACCGCACTAACACAAATTCTCACAAACGCACCAAATTTTGCAGCAATAATGAAGATTATATCTACATTGGTATACAGATCTAGGACAATAAAACAACACTTAAAGTCTATATTCATTTTGTCAACTTAAGTTTTGCAGTCGTTGACTGGGAATTTTGTTTATAACAGGTTTAAAGACATGCCGACAACTTTTACACAGAATAGACCTTTCTTCTATAATAGGACACTTTATCAAATCTATTTTCATTTTCAACTGCTTGACAAATATGGAGGTTTCCCATACATATACTACAGGAATAAGTGCCAGCTGTGTTTTCCATGGAGGAAGATATACATCAATGACAGTTCAGACCAGAATATATGTAGATTGTGCATCATTGACTAGATATGCTAGACTTAATGTATCAGACAGTCCTGTTTTTAATTTCTTGCATTCATTTGATATCAAAGGCATAATGCGTAAGAGCACAATGAAAGAAAGAGATCTTCGTCGATAACCAAATATTTGCCTTTATCTGACAATAAACTATCTTTATATGCTTTTTTTTAAATAGCATCATAAGATAAAAGGGAAAGAAAATCAACCCAAGCACACATTTTGATTTGTCTATCCTATGTTGTTTGACTCTGCTGACCATAGGTCAAGCATGTCAAACCTTCTTAATATGTTAGGCAGGACAGGTCAAAATACATGAATATACTACAAACATATATGGAAATAAGGTATAGTGATAGTATTACATATCCAGAGAATAAACATATAGTAAAACCTCCTTAAACTGCCACGACTGTACAGTAAAACCTTGTTAAACTGCCGTCATCTATCCAGAGAAATTTTGGCATTATAAAGATGTTTGGCAATACATCATGGGAGATGCATTAAGCTTAAAGAGAATTTCAGCAAAAAAGGGAAAGCAGAACTTGATATATGGGATTATGCTCCAAGGGCAATTAATGAGGTTTTAGTATATTAAAATTGCACCCTCATTAGATAAACAATTCATTACAAAAAAATGAATGCTTATAATATTTAATTTTTGTATTTACCAGGACGATGGCTGTAGTAAATCTCTGATTACAGGGAACAGGTAAACATGGGTGGGCTGATTTATTGAGAAAAAAAGAAAAGTCTGTGATACATTGAACTTCAGAATTAATGGTTACATCAGGAACAAGCATGCCACCTGACTTTATCTAGACTGACTACCAGCCACTAAGTTTGTATCCAGAATACTAGGTTATCTCCCCCTGGTTTGAGCACTTAGAATCTAGAATCAGACATCCAAATGATCAAAATAATAAGAGTTTATTTTTTCTAATAATTATATATTCTAGAGACAGGGGTCAGTCTAGACTTTACCATGTATTAACCCGACATACTGACTCTAGATTTTAAGTGTATGAAACAAAACATCAGAAATGTCTGGTATCTCTCTAAGAAATACCCTTTATATTGTTAATAATCTAATGAAGGTGCAAGCTGTGATGAGGGAAGAGTTAAATAAATATACTGCTGAAACAGATTGTATTGAAATAGTGAAATCCTGCAATAAAGACATTTTGTTAACATATGTACATATTGAATAGAAGGTCAATGTTAATACAGCAAAAAAACAGAAAAAACACACTGTCTTTTCCAAGAGTTCAAAATATTAAAAAAATTGCACACTTTTGAATGGATGCATTGAGAATTTGCAATGAATATCACACATGATCTGATTAGACAGGTACTTACTCGTTATCATCCTGCTTGCGCCTACGGGCCGCACGGGCTGCACGTCTTTCTTCTAGGGAACTCATGGTGATATGTGTAGAATGTTAGAAGTAGTTCCTAAATCGAAAAAGAAAGCCCTGAAAAGGAAAACAGAGACATTTAAATTTAGATAGAACATTAATTAATGAATTGATGTTTTTTTACCCAAATACATTACAAGACATTTTAGTCAAAAAAGATATTGTTTTCAACGTGGCTATTTCATACAGGAACACTATGAAATACCACAACATCCTAAAAAATATCACAACGTCCTCAATAATACCACAATATCCTAAATGATATCACAACATCCTAAATGCTACCACAACATCCTAAATATTACCCCAACATTCTCAATAATACCACAAAGTCCCAATGATCATCCTATAGAACTGTAACATTCTAGATTTTGAAAACTGATAAAAGACTTTCCAGAAAATTTATGTCCAAAACTTTCAGACCACTTGCATCTGTCACTGTGGTTAATAGTACAATCGCAACTAAATACTTTCTTAAGACGGTATTATGAGTCTTTGGACTAAAACAATCAACCCCAATGAACCTAAAATCCTTGATACACATGTACTTGTTCTACCTGTACACTAGGCTTTTGCAAGACAAAAGTGATTTTTGAAAACATCGACATTAAGCAAATCAAGTAGCAAATTGAATGAAGGGCATTATATAGGGTTTGACTGAACATATACATACATAAAAGTGCACCATGATTTTAAACAAATTATTTTAAATGAAATAATGCTGATACTTGTAATTTATAATTGGATTCCACCCACCATTATGCAGCAGATACAAATAGAATCTTATTCTTTACACATCATCTTCTTCTTTAAACAAACAAAGGCTGTAATGTGTTAAGTATTTTGTAATGGGCTGTAGTTAGATTAGGACCAGATGATAATATACTTTACATGTCACAATGAGGCTTTATAACATTATGAAACACTGCTTTTACACACAGAGGAGAATCTGTTTCGCTTGTTTTATTTCCACGTTTCATGCTCATTAATGTAGGGGAAATGGTTCTATCAATATCTCCACAGCACATAAAACCTCATCTTGGAGTCATAGCAACAAAACTCTCATGTCACTAGGAGAAATGAGATTAGGGTATCATCTTTTGATCATGAAACATTACTCGATATTTTTTCCACCTGATTTTTAAACTAAGTTATTTTCACAGAAGTGGGGATGGAGACACAACGTTCTAGTTAAATGATGTCTCTTCTATTTCATCGTCAATTATACCGTTATTTTCAGTTTATTCTGAAACAAGCAGATAAACAATGGACAAAACCAACCTTTTTCTCGACAAATATTTTCCAACTAATGAAAAACCAATATTTTCACTTTTAGCTGTTACATCATTGATGCTTTTTTATTTTCCCTCTTATTGTTAGACACCAATACCTGAGACATATCTGCTCATAGCCTTTTCTGTCAATATACTTTTTCATGTATTTTAACTGTACTTGATTCAGCTTTGTCTTGAGCGTACTAATGGAGGTAGAATAAGATTTTTTACATAAAACATGTTTCCAGAGTAAATGTACACATATACCCCTGACTTACAGACCAGAACAAATATATTTAATTTTGTATAGAGGGCAATAAGTTACATATATATTTTTGGTCTTTCAAACTGTTAATTTATAATAACAGATACTTTAAAGCAGAAGAATGCTGTAAAAATGCCCAACAGAAAGTCTACAAACTCACCTCTGAACAGTCCAGTCAAATATGACAGCTGCCTGTCTGTACCATAAACACACATTTACTAGTAGGCAACCTAATCTGCATTGGAGGGGGGCATGGGAGGGGGATCAGGGACTGTTTATACTAGTTATGGACAATTAATCTACAACCCTGGCACTAGGAGCCTGTCTCCATCATCAGCACACAGGAACCAGTCCCCCTCCCACTGGGTGGCAGACTGACTCAATTATATCTATGTAAATAATACACCCCCTGCACCTCCATACAAGTAAAGATCTGCATGATAAAGATCAGCAATCTGTGTCACAGACACACTTCTTTCCTGTAAATCACCTTAGGTATAACAAAATGAACAGTTTTATGCTACATTATTTCCCCTTCCTAAAAAAATGGAAGTGGGTATAAATCTTGCTTCATGTATGTTGGTCAATGAAACAAAAGTTTGAAATTGAAAGGAGAGTGAATTCCAGTACATGTTGACTAAATCTCATTTTCTATAATGTTAGATATGCTTTGATTAACTGAAATCCCAGGTTTTTTTTCTGCTTATGCCCTAAATGAGAATGGCCCTGACATTATAGGCCTAAAATGAGGATAAGGTTTTATATCTATGTACATATATGAAGACTGAATATTTTTTCTAATGCTTGGGAAATATTCTCTCAATAAAATCTCATCTTGTACATTTTATGGAGAGCACTGAGAGGAGAGGTAACAGAATGTTGACCCTTTTAAGCCTCCATCTGTCAGTCACCACATCTCTCAAAGGAATTCATTTCTAGAGCAAGATGTAAGCTGACACAGTGATGCAACATGATATGTTTTTGCATAACAGTCCCCCATTGTAATGATCAAACTGAAAAAGCCTTGTTAGCTTCACACTTAATTATTTTATTTCATTTTTCTCAAAAGAAACATAGTAGATTTCTCATTTCAACAAAACATTTATTTATAACATCTCATCACTAAAGACAATGTTTCAGAGCCAGAAAACTTTGCATTATTGACAAGTGTCATACATTGATAGCATATTTGGAGAACTGTTTTACTCAAGAGATTGAAAGCTTTAAATAGCTATAAAACAACCTACAGACATCCATCACAAACTAATTACAGGGTAGGAGAAGCAGTTCCTTAACACAATAAGGACATCCTACCATCAGACTGAAAATGTTGACTCTACGTGTTTGTTTGTCTCAGGCTTGAAAAAGCTAACCAGCATCACCTTCAGCTGTTGAAAATAACACTAGGGTCAAATTTAGCTTGTAACAAAATAGCTTGCATCCGACACTAGCATCTCCAAGAGCTGGAATGCTTTTTTATGACACAAGAGTTCATGAAGAAAATGTCTGACATTCAGGGATCAAGGGGCTATGAGACAAAACTTAAGAGTTAAACTGATACACAGGTTGTAATAATACATCAAGGAAAATCCGTCCTTCAGTTCCACACCAACTGGACTGGATGTTTTAGTACAGTGCTGACAATAGGAACATAGAGCTAATATCATGAACATTTACATACTGCCACCCGAAAGAAGCGTTTGTTATATTTCCTCTAATAAGGCATCACAGAGTTTGTCATTTTTGAACAAAAAGTTAGATAATATTTATTAATCATCAGTTCAACATCATTCTCAAGGAGTGCTTTTGAGATTTGTATGCTCATATAGCTAACCAACATGTTACCCACTGTATGAAGCAAGCCTCCAAAACATGAGATCCTTGTTCATGGTATGGAGGACTCATAGATATGTTAATGTAATTCATGGTGTCAGAGGGAGCTCTCAAACATGTAAAACATTCAATGTAAAGGTAAAGAAAGGTCACATGGAGCTCACAAGCTCTGCTCTTTAGTGTGGTGTTTGAGGAAGGCTCACAAACGCTAGCCTATTGTGTGGTGTACAAAGAAGGCTTACAAACTAGCCCATGGTGTAATGTTGGAGGGAGCTCGCAAGTACTAGACCCTTGTGTGGTGTTGGATAAAGCTCACAAACACTAGCCTATGGTGTAATGTTGAAAGGAGCCCACAAACACTAGCCTACGATGTAATGTTGGAGGGAGCTCACAAAAACTAACCTATGATGTAATGTTGGAGTGAGCTCACAAACACTAGCCTACGATGTAATGTTGGAGGGAGCTCACAAAAACTAACCTATGATGTAATGTTGGAGGGCGCTCACAAACACTAGCCTACGATGAAATGTTGGAGGGAGCTCATAAACACTACTCTATGGTGTAATGTTGGAGGGAGCTCATAAACACTAACCTAAGATGTAGTGTTGGAGAGAGCTCATAAACACTAGCTCATATTTGAAGTTGGGGGAAGAGCTCACAAAGACTAGCCAATGGTGTTATGCTGGTGCGAGCTCACAGACGCTAGCCTATGGTATAATGTTTGTGGGAGCTCACAAACACTAGTGTCTATGGTATAATGTTTGTGTGGCCTCTCAAACACGAGTGTCTATGGTATAACGTTTGAGGGAGCTCACAAACACTAGTGTCTATGGTATAATGTTTGTGGGAGCTCACAAACACTAGTGTCTATGGTATAATGTTTGTGTGGCCTCTCAAACACGAGTGTCTATGGTATAACGTTTGAGGGAGCTCACAAACACTAGTGTCTATGGTATAATGTTTGTGGGAGCTCACAAACACTAGTGTCTATGGTATAATGTTGAAGGAAGCTCACAAACACTAGCCTATGATGTAATGTTGGAGGGAGCTCACAAACACTAGCCTACGATGTAATGTTGGAGGGAGCTCATAAACACTAACCTATGATGTAGTGTTGGAGAGAGCTCATAAACACTAGCTCATATTTGAAGTTGAGGGAAGAGCTCACAAAGACTAGCCAATGGTGTTATGCTGGTGCGAGCTCACAGACGCTAGCCTATGGTATAATGTTTGTGGGAGCTCACAAACACTAGTGTCTATGGTATAATGTTTGTGGGAGCTCACAAACACTAGTGTCTATGGTATAATGTTTGTGGGAGCTCACAAACACTAGTGTCTATGGTATAATGTTTGTGGGAGCTCACAAACACTAGTGTCTATGGTATAATGTTTGTGGGAGCTCACAAACACTAGTGTCTATGGTATAATGTTTGTGGGAGCTCACAAACACTAGTGTCTATGGTATAATGTTTGTGGGAGCTCACAAACACTAGTGTCTATGGTATAATGTTGAAGGAAGCTCACAAACACAAGCATATGGTGTGGTGCTGGAGGGAGCTCACAAACACTAGCTCATATTTAAAGTTGAGGGAAGAGCTCACTACCACTAGTCCATGGTGTTATGTTGAAAGGAGCTCACAAACACTAGCTCATATTTAAAGTTGAGGGAAGAGCTCACTACCACTAGTCCATGGTGTAATGTTGAAAGGAGCTCACAAACACTAGCTCATGTTTATATTTTGGGGAAGAGCTCACTACCACTACTAGCCCATGGTGTGATGTTTGCAGCATTAATCATGATGTAAGTCAGCATGGCATGTATGTATGGCTGCCACACAGGGGAGTCTAGGCAGACCTACAGACAGTTGTGGAGATAATGCCAAACCGGTGATGTAACTGCTGCAGAGGATGATTACAAACACACTTCAGATTCTTCATCACAAAGTGACCATGTCTACTGGGAAACAGAGTTGTCTCCCTGCATCCAAATGTGCAAAGAGACCCCAGAGTTTGAAGACTGCATGTGTTGTCCTGGCTTGGCTATGAAAAACATCTGTTAACATAGTATCTGCTATAATTGCCTAATGATAAAGACATATGCAACTGTGAAGTGCATATATTCATAACCTGCTGGCTGCTGATGTATCTAACACATCATAGAGTTGTGACCCTGTAATGCATTATGGTAGAGATAATGCCAGCCGAGGCATATCAGGTACATAGTTGACATAGTAGTGGTCTATTGTAAACTGAAAGTAATAGACTCAGACCAACTAGTAAGATATCATTATATCAACTTCTCCTCTAGCCCAGACAGATCTGAGGGATAGAAGCAAAGTGATGCAAAAGCAACTTGTTATGGTTTACCGTACTACTGCCAAAAAATGTAACTAAGTGTTGGAAACTGACTTTCCCGGCATGACTATAGCTTTGATATATCATTTCTGAAAAGTAAAACCATACCTTACAGGACTGGGTATGAAACAAACAAAATAAAATCAACAACAGTGTTGTGAGTTAAAACTCAGCTGGGCTAGACTAGATTCGAACCCTGGACTTCAGATTGTTATACTATTGCCCTAACCAATTGAGCTAGCTGGTCGACAAAAGTGGCCTGAGCCAACAGAAGTTAAGGGGAGGTAATTGTATATAGGATAAACCACAGTGTAGTGGGACAGGGATCCTTAAGGAAGTTAAGGGGAGGTTACTGTATATAGGATAAACCACAGTGAAGTGGGACAGGGATCCTTAAGAAAGTTAAGGGGAGGTTACTGTATATAGGATAAACCACAGTGCAGTGGGACACAGGGATCCTTAACAGAACCCTGATTTATCCGGAGACACATATGAAATTTATTTACTCAATTCCAGAGCATTCCCTAAACAGCTAAAATCTGCAACTGGATAGCCTCCTCCATCCTAAAACTTCACCTTGTAACAATCTACAAACTTTTCAATCTCAAGGCAATAAATATCTCCATACTTATTTCTATGAAAAACACTTTTAACAATCTTTGAGTAACTGTTTTCATATTAAATACAATATTCTAGATGTAAAATAGCTTGAATTGATATTTGAAATTCCTAAGATTTTATCTCTAGTTTCAAATGGAAAATGAAGCTATGTTATCTGTGTAAAACTTCAGTAAATTTAATAGCACATAGATGTAAACTTATCTACAGTGATTGTGTTGCAGTGAGGCTCACAGAAGGGGTAAACATTCAATTAAAAAGATTAAATTTATATAAAAAATCATCTTGTGAAGTTAGTGCTTTTTTTTAACATCTAAAAGTGACATTTTTGCAGGGAAATAAAGGATGTCTAGTAATTTCTCTTCTCTGCGATTTTTCTGATACATATAAGAAGCCCTGTCGTGACCCCCCCAGAGACTGATTTGTGCAACATCATGGGTGGTACAACAAGCTTACAAAGAAAGAGCCCATAAAATGAGCACACCATTATATTCCTATCTATAGTAAATCCTGGATATTGCAGGTTTTCATTACCCATAGGTACTGTTAAAAGGTCCTCGTTATATATGCACACATGTACATATATACAATCTCACTTAAATATTCAAATGAATAAGAGGAATGCATTCTAGTTGACAATCACTCTCAGAATTCAAAAAGATATATAGCATGAAAGTATATAATTTTATGTTTCAGAAAAAAGGGCAGATATTAGTTACTGTATCAACTCTTTACATAAAGGCATTGCAGTTGTAAATTCCATGACTAGGACTGTTGTAAACGCCCATTATACTGTCAATTCATGTTAAGGATCAATCACAAATACATGTAGCAAGTATCTCATACAAAATGTAAGACATCATAAACATTGAGGGAAACACAAAATTCTGTCTTCAGGAATAAGTACAGAAAGTCAATGGTGTAAAAATTGAAAGTACACATGAAATATCATACCTACAGTTAGTATAGCATAACCCCGATATCATTCCCCTTGTTCCATTTGCCACCCAGATTACCACCAACATATTTCAGGGTCCTTTTTTTCTCTTTTTCTTACATTTCCTTCCATTCATCTCCAAACAACTTTATAATGCCAACATTTCTCTGGACAAATGGTGGCAGTATAACAAGGTTTACAGAACATCGCCTTCAGAAACTATTTGTGATCATCAAGAGTAGCATCGATATTTGGTCACAGGCAGGATAGGAAACAAAGGTTTACCGGTAAATACATAATTATTGTCACCAGAATGCATCAGAAGTAATAAATACGATAAACAATGTTAAAATGAACACAAAATTCAACAAAGTAAAAGGGTTGTACATTGAAATTCAAATATGTACTACAACCGATAGTATTAAATGAACACAAATACCGGTAAATACAAAAAACATATCTACAAATATCTGTACCACAAATTAAGAAAAAGTGATGATGAAAGAAGTTTTCACAAGTTAAAATGGTTGCACCTCCCAACACCTAAACAAGCAATGTATCTGGACAACTAGTCATATTTGATGTCCAATAAGTGATTTAGCTGTACAAATCATCACGGTTCAACACATCAAAGTACCACAAACACTTCAATGAACCAGATCATGAGGTCAATCTTGATCCTCAATGCTCTAAATAAACTCCACTGAAAAAATGCCAAGTAAAGAGTACCATTAACATCTAATCAAGACATAGGCCTACCTGCTTGAAACTCTCAGCAGGATGCTGAATCGGCTGCTGCAGATGAGAGATAACCAGGCAGGCAAAACAGAACACCACCAGGTCCGTAAAACTAACTCTATACACCACTCACCCTACTACATCAACTTTGGTCAAACTGATGCTAAAGCAGAAGCACAGTAGTGACCTCTGTTAGTTGTAAAATTCCTGCTTGGGGGCGTGGGGATCAAACCTGAGATATGTGCAGCCTGTCTGTTGGTCTGTCAGAGGAATGGAGTGAGAGACTGTTTAGATAGTGCCCCTCCCAGTACAGTACTTCTATAGTATTAGCATTCCTTATGTATCTGGCCCATCTGTGTAAGATGGTAGTAAGTACCTGAGATCTAATGAGATACAGGGGTGACTGTGATACTACATACAACACCACCAGGCAAAGATGGGCACAACATCATCTCAAATTAGCTAACATGTACCATATGTGAAGACCTTTCCCCATCATACACTAGCAAAGCACAGGGACTCGCCCCATAATGTTATGTGCTGTAGGCTTCAAACTACATATGACTCATACAAAATATATTTCACAAAATCAAACAATTTCAAACACACAAGCTCAGTGTTCAATAACAGCATTTTACAGGTGTTCCAAACTTGCGTTTACACAGAAATTACAACCAATTCAATACATACCTTTCTTGAAAGACAGAGGGCGAAGTGGTGTGAGGATGATGAGCAGGAGATTTGGCAGATATTGACCTTTTGTATGAACCTCAATCTCAACCAATCAGAACACTTTGAAGAAATCTTGACTGTTTCTGCCTTTACTGGCACAAAGAGGTTCGATTGGGGTGCACACACAAACACACACTGCCTGGTCCAATATATTACCAGATTTTCCCTACACTTCTATACAGACCGACTCCCAGAGTTCAAACTGATGTACCTAGGAGTAATGGTGATGTGGGACTAGATCTCTGCAAAACTATACACTGATCTGTGGCAGACCAGTGGGATGATGAACAACCAGCATGGGTGCTGAAACTAGATAGCAGGCTACAGATTTCTACTTTGAAATTTGATCCTTCAGTTCACATGAATCCAGGCATCTGATTTCTCATACAAAACTGCCAGGATATAGTGGCCATAAGGAATGTGGTGGCTGAAATCTCCACCACTCCCCCTCCCTATTTAGTTTATACATCCCCAATCTCTCTCCTCCCCAATATATATAAAGCAGGGATATAGGTAATACCCCTCCCCACAGTCCATATACATATACCCCCTCCCAGTTTTGTGATGAACCAGATAGGGTAGATGTTGTTACCTACAGAAACCCTGTACACACGCAGGAGACCTATAGGGCAAAGTTATGAATGAAAACTGTAACATTTACAGGGTGTTGGAGTCACAATCACTAGATCCTGTGATGTAACTCTTTCATAAGCCTTGTCAGTTTGGATAATCACTTTTACCATTTTTTCCCTTTTTTATACATGCATTAGCATTTGTCATTAATTTCTTCAAATGATGATTTTTTTTTTTAAATGTAGATTTTTTTAGGTACATGCTTTTTATTTTTATTTGCAATAACATTTTTGAAATTGTCTAATCAACCAAAGTGATGTAAATCGGTCGTTAAGGTGAATGCAGGTGTAAATTTCACACCTGGAAGTAAATAAGTATCATTTTGTTCCTATCTTGATTCATGAACAAGAGATGTAACACTATACCAGTTTTGTAACTGTGCTACAGGACTACTTTTGAACGACATTATAAATTCTGGTGCTGTTTCGCCCTTAACTGTTATTACACTATTATTACACAGGTACACCCAGTAATTATGATGACAAACAATCAATATACCCAGTAGAATGTACAGATACCTCATTTTGTTTCACAATAGGGACTAATAAGAATTTTAAAATTCCTTCTGCAGAGAACAATACAGCTGTATTCCTCAACACATCAAGAATTTCACAAATGCTTGCAGGGTATATTTAATAACCGAGCTAGTAGACTGAGTAAAAAGCCTTGGGATCATAATAATACATCCTTTGTGGCGGATTGGTTGAGTGGTTAACACTTCGGCCTTCCACACAGTGTTTTTCTCCTGCCCACACAACTCCAACAACCCAGGTGGTGTTTAAAATGGTCTGGGGTGGATGTTGCAGTATCTGTGATGTAGCATTTAAGTGAGGTGGCACTATAAAAAGATGCCATTGGAAGCACGGTCCTACTACAAACAGAACACAATACATCTCCAGCACACAGGCAGGCATACACATATAGGGAGATATTAGCCAGGTGGCATAGGACTAGTAGTTAGCGCCTGATAAGGCAGCTCCTGCGAATTCCTCAAAAAATGTATATCCTAATTGTATTAATTGTATATCTATGTACTGTAAAGCGCTTTAGAGTGGCTTATGTTAGCTAGATAGGGCGCTATATCAAATGTTGTATATTATTATTATTATTTTTATTATTGTCATGCATTTAAAAACTTTAACGACAGATCTGAAATTCTAGAAAATATAAAGCGACAAAAGACTCTCTTGGATTTCCCTTCAGCTTCATTTCTATTTAGCATATAGAGTACCTATTACATGGTATGATATTAGATGTTAACGTGAACATGTATACGAAATCCTCAGTAAAATGGAAACTTCTGGTCTTGTTCGTTGAATGAGTCTCAAAGGAAATGGGAACTTGAATATTTAATTCCTTTAGAGTTATCATGCTGAAAATGAACAAATGTATACATTTTCAGCATAATTACTTTATAAATTCAGGCAAGTTAACGTTCTAATTATGTAAAATTTAAAAACATCTACATACATATTTCTGTATTGAAAACAAAAGTCAAGACATGTTTTAGGCTCAAACCCTCCATATACTAAAGGAAAAAGTTTTCTTATTTTACCTGTGGAAACATACCAAGGATTTAGTTTACGACAATTTGAATGTAGAGATAAAGATATGTTCACCAATTAGTAAATCCAATGCGCCTTTTGTAGGGTGTTAACTCTCATTTCATACTTCATTTTTATCTCCGACTATCAGGTCTGGTTCTATGTAGGGTATCAGTTTTATGGCTGGGATAAGAATATGTTTTAAAGTCTGCGGAGAGAATAATGTCAGAGTCTAACGTTTAGGCACCAACCTTCTGGTTACCCAGGAAAACTTCCTCGCCCATAGCCATCTATCTTTTTTGTTATCAACTTCTAAATATACCACAGATTATTTCACATTTTCACTGATTATATGTACCATATATTGGCCAAATAAAACATGTGCTGCTCCACGTTATATTCCTGAAATGTTCATAATACCGTAAAACATTTAACCTCAATCTGTATCTGCTAGTACACCTATGGATTTACAAAATGGTCTCTGGAACCATATAAATTTAGAAATAATAACTTTCCGTAATGAAACAGTTTTGCTCTTAAAAACACATGAAATGATAAATGAATTTGCATATGTGTTTTCTGATAACCAGTTTTACTGGATGAACACTTTTAAGTGGTTGATTAACTTAAGGAGATTGGTTGCCAAGTCCATTATGATCATGATCCTGTTTTCATCATAATTCAACTATTTTGATTATAAAGCCTTTTCTTATTAAGTTAGACGTCAAATTAATTCATAGTGCAATCCCCTTTCCTTTAATTAATTATTTCAATCATCCAATAATTTAAAATAAACGATGTACTAAGGGAAGTAACTCCAGTGGTAAAATTAACATGAAACTACAATTTGAATAATTAAACAATATTTTACAATATGGTAAATATGATTTGTAAGTCACTTTTTTAGTCATCATAGCAAAACACTGACCAATAATATGTTATTTCTTACATTTATCATCAATAAGGAAAATTACCTTTACACCACACAAAAGTCCTGTCATCTCTTATCCCTAAAAAAAATATTTTTTGTCATTAATTACTCCAGGTGAACTTCATTAACAAAGAAAATTAAACTTTTGGGCAATTTATAAAAAAATAAACAAACCAGAGAAGAAAATAAATGTGCCAGGTTGTTAGGTGAGTGGCTAGAGTTATTAATGTTATATGTTAGAATAAACTCCTACAAATTAACTTGTTCAGGTTATTTACATACAAAATTAAGGACAGGACATAATTTGTACTTTCCAAAAGAACTGCTGTCTAATACATTGTCTGCCAGCTTGTCAGAGGAATGGAATGTTGTATGCTTACTTCAGTAAGGTATATAACCACTTAAATCACTTCATCACACAGCTATTTTCTTCTAAACAATAGCCAACACTTAACCAACAAGTCAACGAAGCTCTTATCTTCTATTGAAGAACATCTGCTGTAACTAATAATATACAAAAGTCATTGCGTAAAACAGGAAAGTCCATTTTTCATATTAGAATTTATTAAGCTTTGTATTTATTTATTTTGGAAAGAATCCATCTTAATCATTAGGTAAATCCTAGGCAGACCCAGTGCATTGTAAGGTAGGGTGGGGCACAAGATGGAATTTGAGGAGATTAAAGAGTTTTTTTCATGGAAAATGGGAGAGAGAAAGAGAGGAGAGGGGAAAAGATTTGGTTTTTATTCCTTCCTTGATTTTTAGTAGGGGTGCAAAGTCTTCATATTTCAGCGGGGGTGGGGGGGGGGCACCTTTGGTCTGCAAGAATAATTAAAATGGATTCGTTAATGGGTGCGTTAAAACAAGCACTGCAATAGAACAGGTTCAATAATGGCCTACTGCAATTTACGTTTGATAAAGGAATAATATGCAAATGTCAATTTGGTCAGGCGTTAAGCTTGAACAAGGGACTTATAGGTACAATGTATGTACTTGGCAAGTTTTATCCCAATTACATAATTTCTTTCAAAGGTTTCATCAAGAAACCACAAGCAAATCAGATTTAGAGCTTTTTAAAACTGTCCATTTACAGAAGCTATTTCTCTTTGGCATGCACTAGCATGACTTAAATCTGAAATTACATATGTTAGTGCTGAAAAGCTAACCAACATAATTCAAAGCATGAAATTACTGTGACCTTGACCTTTTAACCCCAAAACCATATATATAGATATGTGTGTGTGTGTGAAATCTTATATTTTGTTCAGAAACAAAGGGACATAATCCATTCCATGACAGTTTGTATAGTACGTGTCTCATTGTCCCTGGCATTTTTGATCTAGCAGTTAAAGTGTGTAAAGTTTGAGTTACTATATTCTGACTCTGATGTACTTCAACAAGATTTGTATGACATTAACATATTTGGAGTGTCCAGTTACACTACAGTACAACATGGCAGGATCACCGACACATATCTGAGCACAAAGAACACATTTATAATACTACTTATATTACAGCTTACAAAATGAAAAATGTCAACCACCATCACCAAACAGGTGGGTTTCTAGCCTGATGAGGATTAGAGCAAGAATACTTGCATTCATGTAATTACATAGTCATGAAAATGTCAAAAGAATTATCATGTCATCTATCAACAGATGCATATAAATCATCAGGATAAAACAGTCCATAAAGATGGTAACATTTTCCAAGACAGGACAGACTTTATGTGGACAATGTGCATTATACTCTTACTTTCAGCATTACCAGGCACTTAACCCTTTCACCCCTAGGTTACTTTAGTAGACTATACCATACATTTATTTGGATGAGTCCATTATGGTCTACAGTGGCAAAAGGGTTAAGGAGTTTAGACAAGAAACCAGACAACATGCTCAAAATCAACAGTCTTAACACTTAAAATACCAATACACTCAAAAGAGTTTAGACAATACTAGACCAAAGAGACAAAACCAAACCAGACCAAGAAAACAAATATATAGAAGAGCTCCAACAAGACCAGACCAAGCCAAG